GCAAATGATCCCGGAGAAATGGGAACTCTTGAAGAAGGATTTTCGACCATGCAGTCTGTTCAAGAAGCCAATACTGAAACAGGAACCGTATATCATGACTTGGAGAATTCTCAATCACATGAAAAGACTGGATCAGGACATGCTCTGAGAATTTGCAGTCAGATGAAGAACATGACCTTGGCATTTCCTCTGATGACCAAGAGGGGAGACAACTATGGAATCACAATCTTTCTGTTCAAGAAGCCAAGACTCACAGAAAACAGAAATGGTAACTTTTTTTGCAATCCAATGTAAAGCAAGATTGTTGCAGAAAACTAAAAATGTTCCACTAATGAAGTTCTTTTGTTTTCAGTAGGTAGCCAACTTGAAGTAGTTTCTTGTACAGAGGCCAATGAGATGTACACTGAGACAGTTTTTGTACACGATCACTTTGAGAATATACAATCACATGGAAAACAGGACCATGACATTTCATCCAATGAACAGGAAGGCAGACTACTATGCGACCATGATCTGTCTGTTCAAGAAACCAGGACCGAGACAGAAACCAGAAACGATGACTGTATTTCAATCAATTGAAAATCAGGATTCATCCAACTTTTTCCACTAACGAAGTGCAAACTTGAAGTAGTTGCTTGTACAGAGGCCATGGAGATGTACACCTGGACGGAGAAGCAATTATTTGTAAACGTGGAAAGCAGTGTATTAGATAGACCTGTATTTTCCACCTGGATTAATGATTTCTTGAATGGCAGTTCAAAATTAGTTTTTTATTCGTCTTATTTCAAGGAAATTTTCTTCTGTTAGAATTTACTGATTTCTCCTACTTGGTCACCCTCCCTTGCTTGCTTTCTTTTCATACCTATTTGACTTGTTTTGTCAGCTTTGATGCACTTCCTTAGCATTAGTTCTTGGATTCCCAACTTAAATGGTCAACCGCGGAGTAGAATCCTTGAATGTTGGTTAGTGTTTTATATGGAACTGATGTGAGATTATACCATTTAACATGCCCTAGCAAGATTGGATCAATTTTTAGAACAATTTTGGAATCTCTTGTTTGAGCTTTGATTTGACGGTTTTAATGGCTCGCTCGAGTATTATGAGCTCTGATTTTGGGTTTTATCTTAAAAAAAGCTTAAGAAGAGTAGTCTTATTCTTATGTTATTTGTTAGTGTGTTTATATATGACTTTGGATAGTAACATTGTATTGGCTGGATTGATTTATATAAAAACAAGAAGTGCAAGATATTTTTTTTTGATAAAATGCCATGTCAATTTTGCCTAACAGAATCAGAAAAAAGAAGCTTCAATTTCAAAAACCTCATTTAAAAATCTCAATCCAGCAGGTTTATGATATCTTCTTTAAAGTTTTTTGATCTTCTATCGGCATTGAGCTTTTGGGTTTTTTCTTGGTTTATATCGTGATTTCATGCTAGAAATTGGGTTGTCAATATAAAGGTACAAAGTACAAAGTGATGGGACTCGGAGGATACCAACCGGTTTTGGATCCGCAGGTTGACGACAAGCCTTGCGAAAGACTTGGTTTGCCTATGATCACATAGCCATCCATGATTTGTGGTTAAAAAGTAGTGAAAATTTTGGGTTTATATATATAATATTTTATTGTGTAAATGTGTGATTTAAAATGAGTATGTAGAAAAAAGAGTTTCGAAAGAATGAAAGACAAATATGGACTAAATGAAGAAGAAGAGAAACTTTAACCTCTATTAACACTCTTAGTACACATTTTATTTATTTCAGTGGAGGATTTATTATTTTCATTGTACAATCAATTGTTATCCTCAAAAATTACATGGCATGCACGTGGCGGAGGGAGCCCACATTGGTCAACCAAGCATCGGTTAATTATGTTAATTGGATTGGATCCTTACTTAGTTCATTGGAGTAGAACGGCTTAGGTTTGGGCTCCATCCATTAGCCCTACTGTCCCGCCATGATGAAAGTGCATATAGTCCCGCCAAAAATTAATTACAACCCAATTAAAATCTGCCCAACTATTTTAGCCCAACTAATTTCCACTTAACACAAGTTAAGAGTTCACAAATCAGGTATTAAGTTTCACAATTACAAAAATCAGGTATTA